TTAGGACATTTGTACGGTTTAATTTGTTCTATGTCGAGCTTTAGAAAGTTATATGCAATCATAGCATATTTGGTAACTATACAAACAATGAACATAGAGTTGTTGAGCTTGTTAACTCATTAAACTATGGACCTGAAGAGGTTCATCTTAATGAATGTGTAATCCGTAAATGACACTCATATGACATAGATATGTAACCTACTTTTGTGTTTCGTCACGTTCAATAGAATCATGTCTCCCCCGTCACTGAGAAGTGAGTTTTGGATACACTATTTTATCCATTATTTTGTGTATTTTAGGTATGAAGAGTATCCCTGATGCTTCAGATATTGTTTGTTGTTTATATTTGGTTTCTTTGGGATGCTTGAGTTTTATTCATGCTTTCGGTATCTGTACATCAAGCTTTAATTTGGTTGTGTGAGTATTGGGTTTTAGTTTCATATCAATGGGTGTTCTGATTTATGAGTTTTCATCAAGAACATGGTGGATTTCAGAGATATATTTTTACGGTAAAGACATTTCATTTGCAAAATTATGATTTAAGTCAGCAGTCTTTCAATTTTACCGTTTTATGATTATGATGAAACAACTTGAATTCACCAGGCGTTAAGCCTGACTCTTTTTATTTGCCGGCATGTGCATCAGATCTTTGTTAGGGTTTGGTACTAGCGACACCGTGATGAATTGAGTGCTAGTTAGAGGCACGAGAATGACCTAGTTATTCGGTGACATTTCCGCATTTGGAGATAGCAACTGTTATTGTGTTCTAGTAACACCGGACCTTGACCTAGTCTTTATGTAAGACTTGGGTTATCAATTGTTGATGTTAAATCTAGATTTGTTATTGAGATAATTTAAGTATTAATTTATAAAGAATGATTACCCTTTCACTCTTTCCAAATTTGAAGGTGTTATATGGTTAGTGCCTCCAACCTTGATCGTTCAGCGGGCAAGGTTGAGGGGGCTGTCTTGGACCAAGAATGGTACGCACAAAGTGAGTTAAGAAGGTTTGTTGAACTTGTGAAGATGATGTATAAATTTAGAAGGCACGTTTTGGATTCAGAAGCATGAAAGCATGTAGCTTTCTGAATTTCATTTCGTAGAAAACAAGTCGCCTTCTGAATTTTGATGCAATAATTGTTATTGATCTTATTCAATGATAGTTAATCATCTATTTTGAAGGGGTTTGGGTTGATCAATTTTCCGAACCCAAACCCTAACCCAACTATTTTGATTCGTAAAATTTAGACATTGACAAGGCTTTCAGTTGGTTCGGTTTAAGTTATTCAATCTATTAGGTTGAGTTATGTTGTCAGGTTCATATGCACCCCTACATGGCATTAATAGCAAGTTTTTATACAAAATATTATCATAGTTTTTTTATAAAGAAATAAACACAAGTATCATGTGCACAACATACACCCCACACACACATATATACATACATACATACATACATAGAGGAGTGATCAAATGCAAACCATCAAATTTGTATAAACCGTACAAACCTTATTTAACCGATCATAATTTTTCATTTTGTTCATTTTTTTTGTAATTATAAGAGGTTGATTAATCATTTTTATTGTAGAGGGTGTTAATCATTGATATTATCATCTTCATTATTTTAATTTTAGAGAAATACATCAACAGTTTCATTATTAAATATTATATGAAACAATTTCATAACCATATATGAAACAACTTCATCAAAAAAAAGAGTATTAATAGAAACAATTTCACAAGATTAAACAATTTCATGAAAAAATTTCATAAGATTAAACAATGAAATTGATGAATGAGGGTGGTTTGCACGGTTTGTACAAATTAGGTGGTTTGCACGGTTTGTACAAATTAGGTGGTTTGCACGGTTTGTACAAATTAGGTGGTCTGCATTTGATCGTTCCTCCACATACACATACACACACATATATATATATATACATACATACATACATACATACATACATACATACATACATACATACATACATACATACATACATACATACATACATACATACATACATACATACAT